CCCGCCCCAGTGCTGCTGCTGTTCCCTGTTCCTCCTCAGGCGTGGTCCCAGCAGGGTGGTCTTGCCGAGATAGGATAAAACCCCCTTCTGTGGATGAGTCAGGAGCCTTTCCTCAAATGGAAAATTATTGGAAAACAGACAAACAAGGAGCAAAAAAAACCAGCAGACATGGCTGCATTGGTGGAAGGGGCTCCTGCGGAGGTGCTAGCCCAGCTCACATCAGTCCGGGGCAGGCTCGCCTGCGCCCACCCGCCACCTCCATTCTCAGCTCTCCTCAGAAGGCCCAGCTAGTCCTGCCTCAGGCCATCAGCACAGAGTCAGGGGTGGGGTGAGACAGTGGGGTGGAGACCAGGAGGCAGCACAGATTCGGACCCAGCAAAGGAGCGCACAAAGCAGCAGTGGGGCCACAGCATTGGTGCCCAGGAAGGCCTGGGTGGCAGGCTTCACAGCCAGAGCAGGGATGCGGCAGATTCAAAAGAAGAAAGATGGTAGAAGAGCCTCAGTCCCTCTCTTCTCTCCACCTGGCTTCCATGGCCAAGACCCCTAAACTCCCCACCTCAGCCCTGGGCCCCCTAGGAACCGGTGCAATAGAGTCGGGAGGGCCTGCTGTGTGAGCACATGCACACGCGCACACCCATGCACACACACATGCAACACACTCACTTCTCCCCTGGGCTTCTCCCACAGCCCCAGAAGAGGACACACCTGCCCCCTGGCACCCTGCCACAGAGGCCCCTGAGACCCCTGAAGGGCCCCGCCTGGGGGACCTGTCAGTGACCGACAGGACACCAGACTCCCTGCGCCTCTCATGGACGGTGTCTCAGGGCCCCTTTGACTCCTTCGTGGTGCAGTATTGGGACACAAACGGGCAGCCCCAGGCCTTGCTTGTGGGTGGCAACCAGAACAAGATCCTGGTGTCAGGCCTGGAGCCCAGCACCCCCTACAAGTTCTTCCTCTACGGCCTCCACACAGGGAAGCGCCTGGGACCTGTCTCAGCTGAGGGCACCACAGGTACCCCAGGCGAGGGCTGCGTCCTAGCCTCCCTGCCTCTAGTCGGCTGGGAGGGGTGTGCAGAGTGGTGAGCACAGGGAAAGAACATGAGGAGGGTACCATGGAGGGAGGGAGAGGTGGACAAGCAGCCCTAGCTCTGCACACTATGGGTCCTACTGCACCAGCCCTTCATTAGCTCCACAGATGAGGAACTAGGGGCCAGGGTGAGGTGGCAGAAGGGACCTGCCCCAGGTCACCCAGCTGGCGTGCTTCGGCCTCCAAACCCTTCTCCTACCCACTCTGTGCAGGGTCAGCTCCTGCTGGTCAGACCCCAGGGGAGCCAGGGCCCCGGCTGTCCCAGCTGTCTGTGACCGACGTGACCACCAGTTCTCTGCGACTCAACTGGGAAGCCCCCCCTGGAGCCTTCGACTCCTTCCTGATCCGCTATGGGGTCCCATCAGCAAGCATTCTGGAGCCCCGTCCACGCCCCTTGCTGCAGCGGGAGGTCACAGTGCCAGGGACACGGCGCTCAGCGGTGCTCCGGGACCTGCGCCCTGGGACCCTGTACAGCCTCACAGTGTATGGTCTGCGTGGGCCCCACAAGGCCGACAGCGTGCAGGGCACTGCCCGGACCCTCAGCCCAGGTGAGGCCACTGGCTGGGAGCCGGTGCTGCAGCCGGGGGAGGCTGGCGAGAGGTGCAGGGTGAAGAAAGCCGAGCGACTTCCATGGCCCCGGAGGAGGGTGGGAATCTGGGGACAGGAGCCCCCTGCCCCATGCCTTCCCCATCATCACTTGGCACACTTCTCCCCTCAGTTCTGGAGAGCCCCCGTGACCTCCAATTCAGCGAAATTGGGGAGACCTCAGCCAAGGTCAGCTGGATGCCCCCACCATCCAGAGTCGACAGCTTCAAAGTTTCCTACCAGCTGGCAGATGGAGGTGACACCCTTTCACTGGCCCTCATTTCTCCTGCACCCTCCACTCTGCCCACCCTGCAGCCCCTCCTGGCTTCCCTGGGCAACCTCCCAAGTCCACCATGTTTTCAGGGGAGCCACAGAGCATGCAAGTAGACGGCCGAGCCCGTACCCAGAGACTCAAGGGGCTGAGCCCAGGTGCTCAATATGAGGTGACCGTGGTGTCCGTCCGAGGCTTTGAGGAGAGCGAGCCTCTCACAGGCTTCCTCACCACAGGTGAGATGAGTGGGACCCAGGTGGGGCAGGGGAGGCCGTGGGTGGGAACAGGAAACAGTGGGTGGGAGTTAGTTGAGTGGCCAGGAGAGGGGAGGGGTGTTGGAGGGTCCAGTCATAGACCAGAGGCCCAACAGGGTTTGGGAAGGAGGGGTGGGGGAGCAGCAGGGGTCCGCTCTGAGCCCCTCCCTTCTCCCAGTTCCTGATGGCCCCACCCAGCTGCGTGCGCTAAACTTGACGGAGGGAACAGCTGTGCTGCACTGGAAGCCCCCTCAGGCTCCTGTGGACACATATGACGTCCGGGTCACAGCCCCAGGCGGTGAGTGGGGCTCAGGCTCCCAGAGGGGACTTGTTGGGGAGGAAGAGCAGAGGCAGGCTGGGCTCTGGCAGGGCAGCCTGGCAGCTGCTGATGGCTCCCCCCATACCCAGTCCCCCCTCTGCAGGCCTCGGCCCCAGGTAGCGCCATGGACCACCCCCTGCACGGCCTCGAGCTCCACACCAACTACACAGCCACGGTGCATGGCCTTCGGGGCCCCAACCTCACCTCTCCAGCCAGCATCACCTTCACCACAGGTACCTCCTGTGAGGTGTGTGCGACGGGGTGGGCAGGTGCAGGGAAGGGCCTCATCTCCATCTCCTCTCCCCTGCTCCCCTTCCAGGCTTGGAGGGCCCCCAGGACTTGCAGGCCAAGGAAGTGACACCCCGCACTGCCCTGCTTACTTGGACTGAGCCCCAAGTGCCGCCCACTGGCTACCTGCTCACCTACGACACCCCTGGTGGACGGACCCAGGTGCCCCCGCCCCTACCCCACTGGCCAACTCTCCTCCCTGGGTTCCATTCCAGGGGGGCTGCCTCTGCCTCTGCCTCTCCTGGTGGGGCCCTGCCTCCCTGTCCCCTGATCTGCCCCTTCTCTGTTCCACAGGAGATCCTGCTCCCAGGAGGTGTCACCTCTCACCAGCTCCTGGGCCTCTTTCCCTCCACCACCTACAGAGCCTGGCTCCGGGCCATGTGGGGCAAGAGCCTCACGCCACCCATGTCCACCTCCTTCACCACGGGTACTTGGGGGTTCTGCTGGACCTGAGGTCAGGGCTGAGTGGGCAGCAGGGATCTACGGTTTGGAAAAAGGACTGACGCCTCCCTGTGCTCTCCCCAGGTGGACTGCAGATCCCCTTCCCCCGGGACTGTGGGGAGGAGATACAGAACGGGGCGGGCACTTCGAGGACCACCACCATCTTCCTCAATGGCAACCGCGAGCGGCCACTGAACGTGTTTTGTGACATGGAGACTGACGGGGGCGGCTGGCTGGTGGGTGCGGCTGGAAGCCCACGGCCTGCACTGGCTGGGCGGGGCTGCTGGACCGGGAGCCATAGGCTGATGTGCCCCTGCTTCCCAGGTGTTCCAGCGCCGCATGGACGGACACACGGACTTCTGGAGGGACTGGGAGGACTATGCCCATGGTTTTGGGAACATCTCCGGAGAGTTCTGGCTGGGTCAGTGACTCACAGGGATTAAGGGAGCCAGAGGGGACGGGAGCCTTGTGGACACCAGGGCCTGGTGAGAGCTCGGTCCCACCCTCAGGCAACGAGGCCCTGCACAGCCTGACCAGAGCCGGCGACTACTCCCTGCGTGTGGACCTGCGGGCTGGGGATGAGGCGGTGTTTGCCCAGTACGACTCCTTCAGGGTAGACTCGGCCGCAGACTACTACCGCCTCCACCTGGAGGGCTACCATGGCACGGCAGGTGAGGGGGCTACCATGGCACGGCAGGTGAGGGGGCTACCATGGCACGGCAGGTGAGGGGGCTACCATGGCACGGCAGGTGAGGGGGCTACCATGGCACGGCAGGTGAGGGGGCTACCATGGCACGGCAGGTGAGGGGGCTACCATGGCACGGCAGGTGAGGGGGCTACCATGGCACGGCAGGTGAGGGGGCTACCATGGCACGGCAGGTGAGGGGGCTACCATGGCACGGCAGGTGAGGGGGCTACCATGGCACGGCAGGTGAGGGGGCTACCATGGCACGGCAGGTGAGGGGGCTACCATGGCACGGCAGGTGAGGGGGCTACCATGGCACGGCAGGTGAGGGGGCTACCATGGCACGGCAGGTGAGGGGGCTACCATGGCACGGCAGGTGAGGGCGCTACCATGGCACGGCAGGTGAGGGCCGGCCCGGGGCGGGCGGCCGGCCGGGCCCTCACTCTTCCCCTTGCCCGCCTGCCAGGGGACTCCATGAGCTACCACAGCGGCAGCGTCTTCTCTGCCCGAGACCGAGACCCCAACAACTTGCTCATCTCCTGCGCCGTCTCCTACCGAGGGGCCTGGTGGTACAGGAACTGCCACTATGCCAACCTCAACGGGCTCTACGGGAGCACAGTGGACCACCAGGTGAGGGCGCGGGCAGGGGCGGCGGGGCTCGGCCTGCCTGGGTGTGGCCCGGGCGCGACCCGGCAAGTTACCGAGCCCCCAGGGCCTTGGTCTGTGAAACGGGACAGTAACACCATCTCACCGCGATGCCTTGGGGAGATGATTTATTGGATGGAAAGACCAGCTCAGGATTAAGCCTCAGCGCTCTGCAGTCGGGGCTTACGAAGGGCGCGCAGAAGGCTGATCGATTTCTGGGAACCAGCTCCCCGAAGGGCAGGGGGGGGGCGTCCGCCCTGACTCCGTCCACGCTCCTTTCCAGGGAGTGAGCTGGTACCACTGGAAGGGCTTCGAGTTCTCCGTGCCCTTCACGGAAATGAAGCTGCGACCCAGAGGCTACCGGGCGCCCGCCA